TGTGTGTGTGTATGCGTTTGTGTGTGTATGCGTGTGTGTGTGTGTATGTGTGTCTGTATGCGTGTGTGTGTATGTATGCCTGTGTGTGCGTACGTGCGTGTGTGTGTGCGTGTTTCTTGTGTAAGCTGAAAGACGCGAAAAGTTATTGAAATATCTATTGCTCCAAGGGTTCAGGGGATCTCGTAGTCGAGCAGTCTCGACTAGAGCTTTCTTACTTGTTTTTTTATGAACTTTGAATAAATGTGTTTAGATATCCTGATTTTACTTTAAGATATGATTACTCCACCCTCTGACTGTGATATATATTATTATCAAACCCTTCCGCACCTACATTAAAGAGCAACAAACAAACTTACCTTAATTCGTTCTAACGTTGATGTGTCCGCAACAATAAATTGCGTTAAAGCTGCAAAAACTAGGCAAATACTAGAAAGCAGAACAAGTAGAGTTATTAAACAGATCGATCAATGTTTTGTATCATAGATGAGACTTACGACAATATACATATATAATTTGCCATTGTATTGCAATTAACGAGCTCTGGGACTACATAGGAATGCAACTAATCTGAAAGGAGAAAGCACACATACATATGGTCGGGTTATTAAAATAATATAATGATTGATTTCATTTTATAATTATCTTTTTAATAGTGATAATTAGTGGTGACTGAGATTCGCGTCCCCATGATGAACCACTCTCTTTATTATTGATTTGTTAAAGGTTTCCTGACCCTTTGTCTATCTGTTTTGCTATTGTCTAAAAAGTAGCCCAGGGAATAGAACTGGCTTTATAGCTTTATAGATAATTTTTATCTATGTATACATGTATCACTCTTTAACAATCTATTCCCTGGTGATTGCATCCCCTGTGAAATGCTAGTGCTAAAAAAAAAATCAATTAAGCCAATTAATATCAAATGGGAGGAGCAATTAAATATGACTATAGAACGAAAGCAATAAACATATTTAGTTAACTCAACATATGGGCCTTACAAATTAGTTCCGACTTAACAAATGGGAATGCTATATCAGAGGGTGACTGATTTGTAAGCCTCCTATTAATATTCCTTTGAGAATATATCGTTTTTTTAGGTGTAAATTAAAAATCTATCTTTAGATAACCCAACAGTCAGTACATTGCAAAAGCTTGCTGAATCTACTTTAAATTCTTTGAAAAACATCTATGTATGTTATCTTTATCGATATCGTTCTTATCGAACTTAACTTAAACTTGAAATTAGGAAAAATAAAATATATGTAACATAAAGACCGACAAACTGAGTCGAATAAGCCCTGTCTGTCTGCCTGACTGTCGAAATCAGAAAATATAAGAACTACAGACTTATTTTTAGCTGCTCACTAGGGAAGCGGCATATCCCAGGTCTCATTAGACATTAGCGCATATTTAATAAGCTATTCAAATCTGAGAAGTCTTCGCAAACCCCGAACAAAACTATTTATTGAACATTTCTTACCATAACATTACAAAACTTAATCATGATTGTTTCGTTTTTGCATTAAGTAATCAGATTTCCCAATACTTTTCTGGACTTGTGGAACGTGTTCAAGGCATTAAATGTATTTTATGGAACTAAACTAATAAATCAAGTCTCTGAGCAAACTTATTTAATGATTTATTTAGTTTTGAAATAGAAGACACATAGCTGTCACAG